CGGATCACACCCTTAAGACCTTTCTCAAACTTTAGGCATTTCATGCGCTCCGATTCAATCAAGGAGGGAGCAAAACGGGACAGTTCATTGAAACTAGCTTCGTATTCCCTCACTGTCATTTCCCCTTGCTGTAGGCCCATGAATTCCATGGCCTTTTCATCTCTATAACTTTGGGAAAAGAATTGCTCATTAAAGAGTGCTTCGAATTGTTCCCAAGTCATCCCCTCTACATCTTGCATTCGCCGGATATGCTTCCACCATGCACCTGTAGGACCTTCAAACTTAAAAGCTGCGAACTCCACCCAATACTCATCCGGTACTCCCATGGTACTTAGATGCTTAGACACCGATTCGAACCAATACTCAGCTTCCTCGGGTCCACCTGCGCTAGTGAATGCAGGAATTGAACTACGCATGTACTCACGGAAGTAGTTCTATTTTCTGTCCTCCGTGGGACGTTCATTTTGGGCTCTAGTAGCCATCTCCTGGAAAGCGGCGTACGTGGCTTCCATGAATTGCTCATTTGGCATCGCTGGTGGGTTATGGTTTTTATGGCGCGGCGGCATTCTTTTATCTGAAAAGAAAGCTAGACTATTTTAGTGGTTTCCTGATGTCATTCATGTATGCATAATTCCAAACCCTAAGGTTCTAAACCAAGGGCTCTGATACCAAGTCTTGTCACGCCCCCAAACCGGGGTTAGTGACGTGGAGGCTTGTTTAGAAACTTAAACTTGTTTAAGAGAATGATTAGCATATACTGTTGCAAACATTATAATATATATTTTTTAAATTCAAAACATCCAGGTATTTCTAAACAAGCCCCTGCATTCAAGAGAAATTTAATTTCAAGAACGGTGGTGGAATTTCCAACCAAACCAGTTTAAAGCCACGTCCTTGGTATCATGTCAGGAATTCCCACAGGTGTTTAGCATACATGAATATAAACAAGAGTAAATGTGACATCAACCACAGTCTAGTAATATTTAAGTTTACAATCCATAATCTTTCATACTTGCCTTGAGATAAGGGATTAGAGGAAATACAACTCTTCGCTTTCCTGAAACCAGTCCACGTCGTCAGTAATAGCTACCTACTACGCACTACTTCTGGCGTCGCCTGGAGGGGTTTAATACATTTAAAAATAGGAAAAGGTGAGCGAAAGGCCTAGTAGGATATAATTTTATAAAGCATTTAAAATAAAGGTACTCACAGTCTGAAGATATACACCCGGAACCGATCATCCTTTTTAAAAAAAAAAAGGAAATACTCACATAATAGAATATGTCTGTATAATGAAAGTGTGCAGCTCATTATACCACTAAACAAGAAGCGGTAAAAATGTCTGTCTAATGAAAAGTGCAGAGCCATAATTCCACTAAACAAGAAGTGGATCCGTACGGGTTTCGGGACCTGCCTCCAAGGATGCGATTCCCACATCCCGATCACTGAGGCCACCATGCATTATATCATTCCTTAAAATATTTCATTTTAAGAAATGATACGCTTTGAAATCTCATTTCCAAAATCATTGGAAAACATAATAGCATTCTCATACTATTTCTTTAAAATCATTTTCTTTAAACATGTTTTATTCTAAAACATTTTCATTGGCCAAAATAATTAAAAATGAGGCTAACAAGATATGGACAAGAATATCCTACCTCTCGAATGTCAAACCTGGGCTAGCCTTCAGTTCTCCTAGCCTCCGCTTTCCTTAAAGCCTTAATACTTGACCTTCTCCACTAGCTTTATCACAAAAGCAATATCTTAGGAAGTATTTCTCATTCCTAAAACGAATTAAGTTCAATCATGTTTAATTGTTTCCTATTAGTGTGCCTTGACTCAATTCCAAGTTTCACAATAATTTTATAATTCAGTTTGGGGGTTCTTTAAAAATTAGAATCCAATTCATAGGTTTGGTTTTCCTATTTAATTTCAGTTTAAAAACAAGTTTCTAAAGAAATTTCGGCAGCATGCCGGCATAAATAGGAAAAATGCCAAACTTGCAATTCAAGTTCAATTTCAATATATATTCTCCATAATCCATCAAAATCAGTTTCTAATCAATTAAACAAGTCCCAATAATTAAAAACCCCCAAATTTCATTCGATTCCAATAATAACTGTTCAAACTCGAACCCTAACTCAAAATTATTCAAATCTAACCAAATTCAAACTTTCTCAAGCTTAAAATTTGAATCAAAGAGTTGGTTTCAAAGGGTTTTACCTCAAATCAGTTGCTCGAGCTTTGTCTCCCTCAATTTATCTGTTTTTCATTTTTTTTTTAGTGATTCTCGGCCAAACTACCGAGAGAGAGAGGGAGAGAGAAACCCGGAGAGAGAGAGCAAGGGAGAGAGAGAGGACGCCGGTGGGAGGAAGCCCGGAGAAGGAGGTGGCCGGCGGTGGAAGAAAATGGAGAGAGAGAGAGAGAGCTGGGCGCTGTGCGTGGGAGAGCCAGGGAAGAAATAAGAAAAAAAAAAAGAAAAAGAAGGAGAATGGGGGGCTGGGCGCACGGGAAGGGAAATGGGGAAAAGAAAAAAAAGAAAAGAAAAAAAAGAAAAAGAAAAAGAAAAGAAAAGGAAAAAGAAAAATGGAAAAAAGGGAAAATGTATTAAATTTAAGTGTGTTTTCCAAAAATCTTCGGGGTGAAATTATAAATACTGAAAATAACTTAAAGTCCATTGATTAATTATGAAAATCAAATTAGGCATACTAATAATCCACAGTTTAGTATAATTAAACATGTTTAATTTTAGAGGGCGTTACAGGAGAACTTTTAAGAATGTTTATTTTATTTAGTGAATTTAGGACACACGAGGTTTTAGGAGTTCTTATCGCCTCTATGGAAAAGAAGTTTAAAAAATATTGGTCTAGATTACCAATGTTGTATGGTTTTGGTGTTATTTTCGACCCTAGATTAAAATTAGATGGTTTAGAAAGTGGATTAGATAACTTAGGTGACTTTTTAGCTATCGACACTACTGACCAATTTCCTATTATAAAGGAAAAAATATTTTCTCTATAGCTTTTATGAAAGTAGGTTTAGAAACACACCTCGTGTAGAAGAACCACAACAACGAGATGACAATCTGCATTCATTCTTGAATGTTTTTGGGTTGTCTAAGAAGAAGAAGAAAAAGACGACAACGACGACTCAAGGTCAAAAAGAATCTGGGAGTGGATCTTAATCAAGTTGTGGCGGCAACAGCGGTGGCTTCAACGAGTTAATGGCGTACCTGAGTGAGGGCCTCGTTGTAGACAATAGTGAAATGTTTGATTTGGTTCAGTGGTGGAGGACACAAGCATTAACTTGACCGATCCTAATACGATTGGCAATGGATATTTTTTTGATCCAAGTCTCCACTGTTGCAGCCGAACAAGCATTTAATACAACTGGCCGAATACTTGAAGAACAGAGAAACGCATTGCAACAGGATATTGTTGAAGCTTTGGTGTGCATCAAGGATTGGGATCGTTCCGACCAACGCTTACACGATACAATCTCACTGGCAAGCCAAGAATGGATCGACGAATTTAATAGACTAACTTTTAATTTTCAAGATGATCCTTCTGCTTCAAATTAAATTTTATTATTGTAGTTTTTAAATATTTATTTACTTTGTATAGTGTTATTTTAATCTTGTATAAATTTTGTAAGTTCATCAAATTTGTAATTCGTCCCACAATGATTGCACTCTTTTTTCCTTACCAAGTTTTTATCCCAATTGAGTTTTTCTTGGTAAGGTTTTTAAATTACAACTTTAAAAATCAATAAAGAAATAATTTTTTTATATAGTTCGTGTGTTCATTTCAAATTTTAAATTGTAATATATATATATATATAACATAAAAATATAATATAAAAAATATTTAAAAATTCGGGCTTTTTCGGTCGGGCAACGGGCAGTCAAAGGCTACCTGATGCCCGTCCAAGGAGATTTTCGGGTCGGGTCAGGCAGCCCAAAAATTTGGCAGTTCGGGCTCGGTAATCGGGTAAAATTTTAAACTTTTCGGTGGTCGCGGGCGGCCCGTCCAAAGTTTCAGCACTGTTACCTACTATATATGCCGCATAAGGGTTAAATACCATTTATGAACTTCAATTATTTGATTGTATTATTTTTATGTGTAAATTAGATCTAAATCCTTTTAAAAAATAAAGAAAAAAATGGAGAATTTATCTTTAAAAATGTATGAGTCTGGACATTTACCTCATACTCTTGATAAATACTTTTTTATTAGTGTAATTATTTCACTAAAAAAGTTTTGAATCAAGTGTAAAGGGTAAAAATCCTGAATCATGCACTTTGAAAAAGTATTTGTCAAAATTACTTAAAAATAAATTTAAATTTTTTACACAAGTATTATAAAGTGATATTCATTTGCAGAAGCATATAGTAGGAATTTAGACGAATTGAAAATAATAGCATCTTTTACACCACAATTTTGAAAATTTTAGAAATATCCTCGCACTATTCTTCTCTCTTGCTCTGTCTCTCCCTCTCTTTCTCTCTTCTGTCGACAACATTTGATCAGTGAAGAGACACCTGACAAAGTGATTTGATCGATGCAACTGTTGCCCTGCTCAAGAAGCATCTTCTGTGTCAGAGCCATCATTGCCTAAAGGGACTTAAGGATGGAATCCTTCACAAGCAAGCAAGCAAGCACATGGGAGAAAAGTCATAGCGGAAAACCTTCTTGGTCAAAGCTCGAAGCAGTTCAGAGGAATGCCTCGACCTGGAGGCAAATGTTGTAGGATAAAACACATAACCTTAAATTAAACCTTGTATGGGATTTACATGCCCTAAATAAGAGCATAAATGATCAAAGATAGCTCAACCCTAGCTGTCACGTCAGCAACGACTTTCTTAGGAGTCGATCGCAAAAAGAAGTGTCAGGCATAAGAAGGAGGTCGACTTCTTTGAAAAGATACAAAGAACAACATGAAGCTGACCGTACCTGCAATCGTAGGCGAAGAAGCTTCTGAAAGTGTTTAAAATCGAGGCTAGACAAGAGATGAGATTCGTGAGATTTGCACGAAGATTTGCTATATGTAAACTAAATATATGAAATTTAAATAAGAAAATCATCCTGATTGATTGTAATCTCTCTCTTTTGGGAAACTTTCCCAAACGATAAGGGAAATAACTCAAATTTAAATAGGAAAAGTTTATAGGCAGTGACCTAAGCAACAAATAAGGAATTATGAGTAAGAAAATCCTTAAGTCTGATTTTGAGCATTAGTGCGTGTAATTTCTCCAAAGATAGTAAAATTTCTCTTCTACCCACAGTGGATGTAGCTCTCGAATTGAGGGTAAACCATAAATTATGCACATTCTTATTTAAATTCCGCTTTTAATTGTGTTTTAGATCATTTAGTTTGAGTAAATTATTTAAAAATTCGTTATTATTCTGTTGAC